TAAGTTAGCAAATTGGATATAAGAGTGGCTGTATGAGAGAAAGCAGAGGGTTGTTACAACTGGATTAATGTCACAAGTGGGCTCAGTGACCTCAGGGCTCAGTCTTAGGACCTGTACATCAATGACATAGATGAAGGAATGGTCAATAAGTTACTTAAACTTGCAGATGATATTAAGATCTTGGGTGTTGCTAGCTGTGAAGAGGATGCTGCTAATTTACCAAAGGATTGAGATCATTATAATAAATGCAAGATGATGCATGTGGGTTGTCATAATTTGAATTATAAATATAATTTGGATGGGAATAACCTTAACAGTGTCAAGAAAGAAAGGGATCTCGGTGTAATAGTTGATCAGTCTCTAAAGACATCCAAGCAGTGTGCTGTTACTAGTGATAGGGCAAATAGGGTTTTAACTTGTATCTACAGAAATATTGAATACAAGTCTAAAGAGGTTAAAATTTCATTGTAGAGGTTACTGGTTAGGCCACATTTGGAATACTGTGTTCAGTCTTGGGCTCCTTACCTCAGGAAATACATTGAGTTGTTGGAAAGGGTTACTAAAATAGTGCCTGGGATGGAGGGGTTGTCATACGAGGAGAGGTTGAAATCTTTCAAATTGTTTTCTCTTGAAAAAAAGAAGAGTTAGGGGGATGTATTTGAGGTGTTTAAGATTGTAAATGGAATTGATAATGTTGATGCATCATCTTTTTTCATATTTAACAGTGAGAGTAGTAAGACTAGGGAACACAAATATAAATTTTGGCAAGGTAGGTGTCATCTTCAGCTAAGACAGTTTTATTTTTCTAACAGGGTGGTTGACTTTTGGAATGGATTGCCTTCAGATGTAGTGAAAGCAGTAAATTTAAGTAAGTTTAAGAGAAAGCTTGATAAGTATATGAATGATAAGGGCTGGCTTTAAGATTTAAAAAGAATATATTTATTAACATTTTTAGTTTAGTTTAGAAGATGGAACAGCCAAGATGGACCAACAGGTCCCATGTTGTTCCAAAATGTTATGTTATATGTTATAATACACTTGTAAAATAAGTCATTCCTAATTATAATACACAGAACCATTTAAATGTAAATATATTACTATTTTTTAAAACAAAGCTACAATCTGTTTTTCATCTGTTGATAATAACAATGTTTAGCCTTCAGACATTAATAACTTTACATAAAACTACCTATAAACAAAATATCAACAAAACAGCCTAACCCTGTCAACAACAATTAACAAACACAGATACACAGGTGGGGTCAAAATTTGCATGCCACAACCTTTTACAGAGCACCACACAACATGGTATTATGCATTTGATATCAGAGTAATCATCTATTTATTTTATCCTACACCATTGATTTTGTGACAGTTCACTGTACAAGAGAGTAAGTACCAGATATAATATATAAGGATACTGAAAAAAAGAAAAGAAACTGTACATATTGGAAGTTATAGAAGTTATACAAATGTAAATTCTACAATGGGCAAAAGTATTTTTATTCTTCACATAAACATCACCTTGGACTCCAATTTGTCCGAATTAGGCTAACATTGTCAATTCACAGACATGTCTTGAGGGCAATACTTTTATAACAAATCTGATTTTTCTGTGTACAACAGACTTGTACATAGTACTAAAATCTTGCCACATTTCATGTAGCTACACTTAGTAAATTCAGAATTTTAGTCAAAATTCCTTCTCCACTAGTACATTCTGTTAAAAAAAATATACACAAATTCTTTTAGATCAAAGTACACAACACTTTCTATATGAAACATTACAGCAGGTAATAGATAAAAAAATGAAAGTAAAAAAAGAAACAGTTTATCATTTTAATTGATATGGGTCTCAATTAAATAACACAAAAACTCTTAACCCACAATTTATTGAAGGAGTTTTATGTTACTGGCTTTTTAAAGAAATTTTTATAAACTAGTTGTGCACTAAATTGCTTGAATGTCTATAATTGTTAGTTAAAAATAATATACGAGTTGCAAACAAAAACAGCACCAACCATTATTGCACTTTAAACTTCCTAATTACTGATAAGATAGCCCTTGCATATTTTACATAGAAAATGAATGATTTAATTCAATGCTTTATCAACTCTTTACACTGAGAGTTATAACATGCAGAAAAATAAATTACTACTTATGAAGCAATATATATGTATCATGAGTAGTTAATGATATAAAATTCAACATTTTCCATATGTGGAAGAGCTCTCATCTCTGCACATAATAAAATGTAGTGCACTAATCTATGATGCAATAAACATTAGACTACATCCCTCAATCAAGAGAAAGGTCACATTTCCTTGCACACTACTCCTCTTGAGTAGTTTGTGTTAATCAAAAGCTCATTCTTGACAAGGCAAATAGAAGTTGAGACATAGAGTAGATAGTTCTGAAATACATTTTTAGTTATGGAAATGTTAATTTCAGACCACACTACCCACTTCTCCATGGAACAAATAACTAGAATATCACACTGGGAAGAAGATGAACAGATCAATTTAAAGAAAGCAATTAAAAAGGTTTCTGAGACAAGGAATATTGAACTTAGTGGGAGCAGCACTCTGTGAGAGACCACATCAATTTCAACCAGGAAATACTGTTCATTCAACACAAGTGATTTTGCAGACAGATTCTTCTTTTGACCAGTGTTACAAAGATGGGCAGAATGTGAAGATTGCTCAACTTCCCTACATAACATAGTGGTTCAGCAGACTATATCAGTTAAGTTTGGCTTGGACCATATATCAATTCATATAGTATGGGAGAAATATTACAATAATATGCAAGTTCACGAATGAATCACTACAGACCTAAATTTTGAGAATAATTCAAGACCAATTTGACTTAAAACAATCACTTGGAAATGTCCCAATTCATAGCATTGTTGGTGACGTGCTATTCTTCCATGCTGACACCCTGCTCTGCTTCTAGTCAAGTGGTGTGTCCACTTGATCTTATTGCAGGGTTTCCATATTGAACTCCCCCAACAGTTTAATAATGAGGAAGTGAAAGTTCTCCAACTTCACTAGAAAAGAACAGAATGAAGGGATTTGCATATAGGAGAACAGTGGAGGTATGTGTGTGTGTAATGAACAGGAATCATCTCATCTGTATAAAATATCCTAACTGACAGACTGTGAAATGGGTTACTGTAAACAGCAGAAACTGTCTTGTTCAGTGGTTTTTTAGCTACTATTTTTTGTTTTTTTTCTGTATATGTTTGGGAAGGGAGAGTCTCTTGGCACAGTGTGGTTTGAAAGGAAAAGAAAAATAAATGTAGATACATACTGCCAAAGCAGTCTTGCTGAAAACCTTATCTCAACAGTTGGCACTGAGTAGAGACAGATGAGCTAAACACTGTTATTTCTGGATCACTGCAAATTTTGAGAAAAAGAAGTATTTCCTGTGAGGCAACACTGACCACTTAGTGAGTTCCTGTGTCTATATTTTTTTTTCTTTTTTCTGCTGTTGTTTTTTCATAAACAGTTCATCTCCTTAGAGATTCTGGGAAGACTGGAGACTGGTAAGAGACAAAACCCAGAAGCTGATAAGGCCATAATGTGATGGAAGAAATGTAGCTAAATGTTTTCTGGAGCCACCCATATCCTGTCTGCAGAAATTAATCCTCAAGAAGTCTACAGTCAGAGGCAATAGAAGCTGTGAGATGACAAATTTGATGCAAGCTGACATAAAAAAAGCAAAAAAACTGTCATCTTTCATGGAAGAATAAACAAGCATGACAAGTTGTTTAATCCATTCAGTCAAAGCAGAAAGAGATAAATCTCGAGAAGTTAAAAACCCCATGACAGAAAAAGATGATTTTAATTGTTTCAAAAGAAAGCAACGTGATCAAAATAACATCATACTGCCCACATAGGGAAGAGGAGTTGGCTGGGGTCTTCTGAATGATCAATCTTTTAGGCAATCCAAGCACTGGGAAGGAAAGAGAGGTCTGGAAATAAAATCAACCTGGCACTGTAAAAAAAAAAATTGCAGGTGGTTCTTAATGCAAGAATATCAAGGTGACATCTTCCATAAAAAAAGGAGGAGTAAATATGTCTTAAAAGAAATAAGATAAAGGAAAAAGATAGTAAAAGGTTTAAGTGGAAGACACATGAGAGATAAGAGAATTAAACACGGAGGTTCCAATCTGGCAGAGGAACCAGATGATGAGGACAACTGATTAGAGAGCCCCTGAAGAGGTTTATAAAAACCAGAGAAAGAAAAGGAGAATGGCCAGGGAAAAGACAGAAGATCATTGACAAAGCTACTCTATAGTTGGGTATCATAGAAACATATAGATTACTATTGAAAAGATGTGTAAAAAATATAGTGAGATGAGGAAGAACCAGACAATCTGGTGGAAGAGAATGACAGACGGGCCAGTGTTGTTAATTGATCTATTTATACTAATAAAC